CCTCTTCCTCTTCCTCTTCCTCTTCCTCTTCCTCTTCTCTCTCTCTCTCTCTCTCTCTCTCTCTCTCTCTCTCTCTCTCTCTCTCCCCTCTCTTTTTGTTTGTTTTTTGTTTTTTTGAGACAGGGTTTCTCTGTGTAGCCCTGGCTGTCCTGGAACTCACTTTGTAGACCAGGTTGGCCTCGAACTCAGAGAGATTTGCCTGACTCTGCCTCCCGAGTGCTGAGATTAAAGGTGTGCACCACCACCTGGTTTAGGGTTTTGCTGTTTTTATTGTTGTTGTTTAGTTTTGGTTTTTGTTTTTTTGGCTTCTTTTCTCTTTTTAAGGACTTTTTTTTAAAAAAAATTTCCTTTAACATATATGTATCCAAAGAGACCCAAAGGGTGTGTCAGATCACTTGGGACTAGAGTTACAGATGGTTGTGAGCCCCGTGGGCTCTGGAAATCAAACCCAGATTCTCTACAAGCAGCCAGTGCTCTTAACCACTGAGTGAGCCCTTCATCCCCCTAAAGACTTATTTTTCTTTTTTTGTATGTATGTGTTTGTTTGAGTATGTGCCACGTGTGGGGTAACCTGCAGAAAAGACATTACATCCACTGGAGCAAGAGTTATAAGCAGTTGTGAACCACTCAGCATGAGCCTACCTCGGTGTTTGGGTGAATGCTTCACTCTAGCCCCTGGTATCCATATATCCAAAGAGTATGGAATGTTCGGGTGGAAGTTCCACCCCAAGTCCCCTTTCCTGAGAGTTGTCTCAATCCAGACTCCACCCCTGAGAAAGTCTGCGAAAGGGTGACTTCTCCCCAGAGATGTTAAGGACCACTCCTGTAGGTCCTGTAGGGTATTTAAACTGTCCCTCCAGAGAACAAAAAACATGGTTTTCTGGTCTTCCTTTTCCAGTCTCTCTAGGGGGCTGGAAAGCCATCCGGGAGCATTTGTATCCCTTAAACCTGGGCTTTTTCTAATTCGATTGATTTGGTCTGATTCGGATTGCTGTGTCAGCGGAGAGGCTTATCGGGGTGCAGAAACTTTTCACTAGGGTCCCCTGGAAGGGCAGCTAGGGCTCTAACCACTCTGTGATCTCTCCAGCCCCCAAGCCTCTTTTTTAAAAACTTTGTTTTTGTTTTTAATAGAAGCACAGCAATTTTGCTGTCATGGTTTTTGTGTGTAATGCTCTCCAAAAGCTCTCGTGTTTGAATATTTGGTACCCAGCTGGTGGTGTTGCTTGGAAGGTTCTGGAACCTACAGGACAGGCCTTAGGGTGATCCTCTGGCCCTGGTTTGGGCCATCTCACTGCTTTCTGTTCTGCTGAGCACATGGTTCTCCTGTCAAGGTACTGCCCTTAGCATGTCTTCCCTGACACGATGGACTAGATTTCCCGCTAATGTGAGCCCGAGTGAGTCCATCCCTTGTAAGTTTTGGTTGGTCACAAATGAAAAAGTCACTAATTAATATGCATGTTTCCATAGTAAATGGTGGCAAGTTTTGATAACATACACAGTTTGTTATCACTGATTGAAGCAGGTTAGTGGACACATCACCTTAGACAGGGTGGTAGCTACGTTTCTGTTGCTGGGACAAAAAAACACCATGATTAAAGCAACATGTGGAAGGAAGGACTTCAGAAGTATAAGAGTTTATTGTGGCAGGGTGGAACGGTGGCAGGCAGCATGGCGGCTGGAGTCGGAAGTCAAGAGTTCACACGCTGAGCCCCAAGCATGAGGCAGAGATAGCAGCAGCAAGTAGGACAAGACTTTGCGCTCTCAGAGTTAAACCCTAGGGATGTCCTTTCTCCAGCAAGCCTGCCCTACAACCCCCCGTCTCATTTCTCTGTGTTAATGACATTCAAAATATTCTCCACTTGCTATTTTGAAATAAGTGGTAAACTTCGGTCATCCATAGATGTCCTACTGTGGTGTGGGACAGGACATCTCCTTCCCAGCTGCTCCCATGCACCAATTAGCCATCCTCTCCTCCCCTTCCTGCCCCATACTGCCCCTATCCATTGGGTAATGATTCTGCCACTCATTAATAAGTCCTGACTCTTGTGTAATAGTACAAGGTGTGTGTGTGTGTGTGTGTGTGTGTGTGTGTGTGTGTGAGTGAGAGAGAGAGAGAGAGAGAGGTGGGGGATGTGGGTAGGGGTGGGGGAGAGCACAAATGTTTATTGAGTATTTACTACAAGCTAAACTTTATTCTCTAATTAGGGAAAATCGCACAGAGCTTCTGCCTATGTGGGTTACGTCTGTTGACAGTAACTATATTAGAACTAGAAACTGAAAAACACACCAAAACTTCCCATCACTCAGAAACAATCATCGTAATATTCCACGTTAACAGAGAACTTAATTTTATGGAAATAGAGTTTCCCAAACCCAAAATATACTTTGCAGGTAATTGCTTTAGCTTTGTGCAAGTCTGGGAGGAGGTAACTGGAATTTTGCATCGACTTCCGTGTCCAGTTTGCTGTGATATATTGATGCTGATGAAATCAATAAAGAAAATCTGATCTCCCACAGATAAGCGGTTGGAAGCAGGAAGAGGAGTCTGATAGACTCCTGAGAACTGGGCCGATTTTAATGTGGTGCCCATTTCGGCAAACGGTTTGCCCTTCCCTCCCTCTCCCCTTCCTTCCCTCTGTCTCTGCTGCGGCCACTCTAGGGTGTCCATTCACACTGTCACACTGTCACACAATTATCCCCGTCACCAATTTCCAGAACTTTCTCATCCTGCACAACCGAATCTGTGATTTCTTAAAGGCCAAATCCCTGCTCCACTCTGTCCCCAGCCCTGGGGGCCTCCACTCTGCTCCCTGTGCTGATGGACGGGACAACCCTAAGTCCTTTAAGTGAGTGGCCTCCTGAAATGCTGTTGTCTTGAAGCAAGCTTATGTCTCTCTGCGTAGTATCCTAAATGTTCATTCACCTCTGCTGTCAAATGTGTCAGGATCTGCTTCCGTTTTCAAGCTAATATTCACTGCAGGCCCTGGTGAATGAAAAAAAAAAGGAAGGACAAGACTGGTCTTGGATTTCATCTCATCACCAAATGAATAAAAGAAAGGAAGGAAGGAAGGAAGGAAGGAAGGAAGGAAGGAAGAAAAGAAGGAAGGAAGGAAGGGAGGGAGGAAGGAAGGGAGGAAGGACATGACTACTTCTAGGTATGGTGGAGGAGAGAGTTTATTATAGATAAAACAGAGAGCATAGCCAGAGGCGGGGACATCTAGCAGGGTCCAGAGCAAATGTGGTCAGAATGAGCCTGGAAAGGGGAGAGGAAAGGAGCAGCCATTCCCTGTCACAGGTGAGGACTGAAGGATGCTGGGAGAACCCAGTGTTTAGGTTCACTTTAATATGTTAAGTAGGCACCCCCACTGTTAGTCCTGGGTTTGAGAACTAATGCCAGGGTCTTGCTGACCAGCATCCCCGACAGCATCCCTGGGCACAGGATGAGCAAGTACACCCTGTTCAGCACAGTTTAAGCTGGGTGAGCGTCTGATAACATTTTCAGACGGAACCTGTCTCTGTACTCCAAATTTGTAAAGAGAGGGAATGAGGAACTCATTGTGGCTCTTCGTTGTATTTTGCTTTAACTACAAATCGAGTGTTCTTGATCTGGAAAAGAAAAATACAAAACCTTCTGAATGCCGACAGGATGCCACAAACTCAAAA